TGGTCTAAATCAGACAGGCCAGGCTGGCACGACCAGAGACCTTGTCGTCGTCTCGCAGATCAATAGTGATAAGGGGAAATACAGTTTGAGCTGCAAACAGTGAGGACACCAAAGAGACACTCAGGACACGAGGAGCTCCATACGCACTTTAGTTTTGCATGTTATGCTGGGAATATCGCACAATGGAAGATGATTGTTTGGTCATCTTTGCTCATGTGGATAACATGAGGATAACTTGTCATTGAGGTGATGTGTTGTTATGCACATTATGATTTTGCTGCACTTGTTTGATGCAATATGAAATATGTCTGTGCAATGATATCTATATGACGTATATCATATTCATATATATTTATATATATATATATATAATGCGCTGCTTTTAGTGCATGTTTGTGCATGCGAACGTGCCCCGTCGGCTAGCTCACGGCCGCTGTTCTGCACTGAGTCATACGCCGGTTACAGCTGATTTAGCGCCTTTAACTCTGAATTACCCTTAAGTGCGAATGTTTTTGCATTAGTTACGTGGTATAATAACGAGTACAGTATAAAAAGCGAGAGTCCACTGAGGGCGGATGGGTGAGTCAAACAAACACAGGACGTTCACTCGGTACTATTCATGTCCAGTGGGAAATTAAAAGTAAATGTTTACTTTACGCTTGTTATGTAACATCGTTACGTTACGTAAGAAAGTCTGCTATGTGTATGTGTAGTTGTTATTAATTTACACTAGTTACATTGTTGCACTGTTACCTTGCTGCGCTGTTACCTTGTTGCGCTGTTACCTTGTTGCGCTGTTACCTTGCTGCGCTGTTACATTGCTGCGCTGTTACCTTGTTGCACTATTACCTTGCTGCACTGTTCACGTTAATGTGAAACATATTTTCGTTTCAGAAATGTCGACGTATCCCGTAATTTGCAGAAACGTACAGTGCCATTTTTTCTGGCGACTGGGTTGTGTTGTAGCAATACTGGTCAGTGAGTTAGTTTTGATCCAGACAACTCTCAACAATATCTCAACAACTGAATAAACACCTGCAAAACTAATGATATAAAATGCTAAACTAAAAGTGAACATGGTCAACGTTATACCTGCTAAACATCAGCATGTTGGCATTGTCATTGTGAGCATGCCAGCATGCTAATATTAGCATTTAGCTCAATGCACCACTGTGCCTCAGTGCAGCCTCACAGATTCGAAAGGAAATACAGGATAAAGAGAGAGCAATGAATAATTGAGACGACTGGCTTTTTGCACACATGCGCCGTTACAAATCAATAGCCTCACTTTTATTGCATCACTAACTGAGGATGCTCTCTTTCTCTTCTTGGGTTGCTCTGGAGTTCAACACAATTTCCCTTAATCAGGCAATCAATCACTATTAGATCTGTGTGCCACACCAGCAGGCAGATGTGGCCCCCAGCGAAGAAACTACAGTCCCTAAATTGGGGCAGACACACACTTGTATGAGCCCTGTGACTCAGTAGATGTTGCCAGAGCTGCTGCCGGAGCTCACAAAGCAGCATTTTGTCTTTTTCTTAGTCGACAAGTAGGGCGGCACCAAGCCGCTTTACTGACACGTCTTTTCACAAGAAATTACAGAGAAAGAACGCTCAGCGAAAATTGCAGGTCTCTGTCATTGTCACTTTGCATATAATACAATATAATCAGATCCCTTTTAAGGTTACACATGTTCAGCAAAGTGATCGCGCAATACTTATGTCTAAAACATGCCATGCATTATGTTTGTGGAACACAACATGTTGCAACCTTGCTGTGAAATTCTTGTGAAAGTCAGAAACAACATCAAGCACCATACATTTAGACATATTCGTATGTGTGTGTGTGTGTGTGTGTGTGTGTGTGTGTGTGTGTGTGTGTGTGTCCTATTACACACATAGCTCTATTTCGCTCCATTGTTCGAATGGCATAAAAGATTGAATGAGACGATCTGGCACAAGAGGAGAATAATCAGAGCAATACTGTGGTCCTCAGAGATCTGTTATTGAATGCATGACAATGGCGCTTGATTGGAATTGATGGTGGCTTTGAGGGCTAGGTCGCTCCTTTCCAGTCACTAATTTGCTCTAAAGCAACCTTTGACATGCACAGGATTGTCAATGACAAGATAATAAGCCAAGTTGAGAGGGGTCAAAACATGTGTGTTCACACCAAAGGAGAAAACATTCTCCCTGTCCGTTGGAATACTGAGTGTCATTTCTAAACACAGTGTCCGTGCCTCTGTCAATTTACATAAGTAGCCAATGAATTCAACAGAAGGAGGCTATGTGCATGTGTGTCGCGTGTGCTGACATCTATATTTGGCTTACGGCACGAACGACTGAGCTCTGTATTACAGTATGCGGGAGCTTGAGTGTGAACTGTGTGATATTCCTGTATCAACACAGAGTCAGCATGAGGAAGTGCCACGGATGTGAAAGTGCTGCTGACCTCGCCCATTTTTCTTCCAGTGTCATCAAGGCCGCCGAGCCGCTGCGCTCCGCGCCCGCATCCAATTGTGCGGAGCGAAAGGTGTTGAATGGAGGGCCCCTCCGGGCCAACCAGCCCCTCGGCCACAGACGCTTATGAGAGTCAACAGCAGTGTCAGCAGCGCGACCAACATGCATCACGCGGCTGCCTCACACATGCCCCGCGAAGCAACGCTATCTGTCCACACACAGTGCAGGCCGGAGAATACATTACCCACAGGCCGCACGGCGACCTTGAAGGGCACGTTTCTCCTGCGATTGCACATTTTAGAGCATGCCAAATTCAGGTGTATGCTGCACACAGAGTTCTCTGAGAGGGGGGGGGGTGCGCTCCTCAGATTGGTCTTATGAATCATGCAACATGATATTCTTTGATTGAAAGCACCAAGTCCAAATTGGATTCCCACTAACCACCCCCCCCCCCCCCCCCTTCTAGCCTTCTAGACAAGTGCTGACGAGAGATAACCGCCTCTGCATTAATCAAAAAGATGGAGCATTTTGATCCCACTTTCAATTAGATTATGTTACACAAAACACGATATCATTTATCAACAGGTCATTCAGTTTGATCTCTTGCCCGATTCTGCTAAAAGTGCACATTGAATCTGACTGCCTCGGGTGAAAACATGATTATGTGAAGTTTCTTAATAGCTGTGGGGAAAACATGACCACGAAAAAGTCTTTCTTTGATGCTACCTTACTGTTGTTTATATCTTAACTGTCTGAATTTTCTTCTTTTGACTGCATTCTTTACCTCCAGAGAGAGTTTGACTATTTCAAAATGTGGATGATCAGGCTTGCTGCAATGACAAGAGTGTTAAGTGACATGAGGGTCTTATTACAAGACGCAAGTGTCTTTGTGTGTGTGTGTGTGCGTGTGTGTGTGTGTGTGTGTGTGTGTGTGCGTGTGTGCACGAACTGTAAGTGGGGTGTGATAGTGCTCACTGTTTGTTAAGGATTACAAGACACTCTCAGGACCGGATGGTTTGATTTGTAGGAGGGGAGCAGCATCGCTCCCATCACACACTCACAAAACGCCAATAACTTGGAAAACAACAGATTGCCCAGGAGGAGGTGAACGAAAAGTCAGCCCTTGTTTATTATTTGGAGATGGAATATATATATATATATTTATTTATTCTCGTCTGCCAAAGTGAAATATCTCGGTGTCACAGATGCAATCTCTTCCACGGAGCCGTCTCTAGGTAGTTAATTAGATGTCAGCAGCACAACCAAGGTAATTTAACCTTCATCAGCCTGTATCACATGAGAAGATAATGTTAGGGAATTATTCATTGCATATTTTAGTGAGACATGAAAAAAAGCTTTACTCACGGATTCGAGGATTAAGTCAAGATGAATGAATAGAATGCAAAATTCCACCGTGACAGTAGTTTGTGAAACAGGGAGCTTTTTTTGGTATCAATGAGGGAGACGTGTGTGTGTGTGTGAGAGAGAGAGGAAGACACATATGCACAGATCTGGCACCAAAACATTGACTATTAATAATCCTTAAGATCAAATGTGCAGTAAACAGCAATTATCTAAGGGCAATGTGATCCAAATCCCCAACCTTATGATCAATCGAGGCTACTCTTTATGCAGGCAGAGAGACAACTGATTGAATCCTGAATTACTCATGCCCGTGACATTCAGAAAGCGCTTTGAGAGCAGAGGAGTCTGGAGCTAATAACCATAGAATTTAAATGAAAAACCAACATGCAAATAGATTACAACCCGGTGTGTCATGATCAGTGACAACACGCTGCCATTTGATGACTTCAAAGGTAACTTTTAAAATGAGACGTTGAAAACACGGGAGATCCTGAGTAGTATGTATGACAAGTTGTAAATACTGTTAAGTTGTAAGACGTTTACATACAGCAATCTCTTGTTTTTATTTGTCTGTCCTCGCATTTCCGTGCCAGTCTCATTTAAATATAAAGCGCCTGAGTAAGCGAAACCAGACAATCAGCAAATAAACGGTGACCTCAAACTGACCGGGGTGTTGTGATCCGAGATGGTGAGACGTGGTCTTTCCAGAGGTGATTTAGTTTGGACTGGAAGGACAGCTTGGTCACATCAACGAGAGTCATATTACAATTGGTTGGTATTGATATTATGTAGTTTAAATCAGGAAGCACCGAAGCCTTATCAGCAGTTTCGCATGTTCTATCTAAAATAGCCTACCATATATAAAATGAATAAAATACAGATGAATTAATTAATTACAATTTCTTTACAGATCGAAGATGAATCGCGACAACAGAAATAAATAAACAAAAACAATAAAAGCCATAATGTATGGTGACACCACCGTGAACTTAACAGTGACTGCCACACACTGTGAGTGAACATCACTATTATGTGTAAATGTTATAATACTCTGTCATTTGGGATGGCGCTCTCACATAGGGGGACGGGTTGGGGGGCTGCAGTGAAATTGGCTGTGTGACCAGTAGGGAGAGACAGTGAGATGGGCGGCTCGTAGACTAGTGGCTGGGGCTTTTTCTGTGTTTTGTATCGGACTGGGTGGGAGGGAGCAGCAGCCTCAGTACCAGGCGCCGCTCTCCCTCAGTGCTGACTGGATAGACATAGAGGAGGAGGCTGCTACATGCTGCCGCCGACGCCACCTCTCCTGCCTTTGTCGTAAATCGGACCTGTTCTTTTTTCTTCTTCTCCACCGCGGCCACGCTTGAGCCAGACGGATATTGTTTTGCGTTTTTTTTTTTCCACCTGTATTTTCTAACATTTTTTCTTTTGTACACGGATTCCGACAAGAAGAGGGGAATTAAGCAGTCGCGGGCGTACCAATGTACTCACTACACGAGGGCAGCGGTCTGTTTCTGCTGCTGGTCTTGGCAGGACTGCAGGTAAATGTGATTTCAGAGCCGGGGGTTTACCAGCGGAGTGCCACCGGACAGTTTACGGTGCTCGGTGTTGTTCGGTGGCGACGACATTTGTTGAGTTTACGAGCCCCGACGAGCCCCGCTAGCTCCCCGACGGGCACTTTACACAGCAGAGCAGGTTTTGTGCCATGCATGTACTCAAAAGAAATTAACGGTAAAGTAGGTCTAGCACGTGCTGTATTTGCTGGCTAACGGTTCCTTTTTTAAAATCACATGCGCACGAGATGCCTATGTGTTGTTTAAACTGCTATACGCACATTTGAGTGAATTATTTCAGCTACAAGAGTTCAAATTGGGCAATGGCGTAGCGTCATTTAAGAGTTGAAATAGCTGAATCTTGTATTGTCGGGAAGTTACGGGGCGACACGGGCCCACATTAACCTAGTTCTCACTTGGTTATATTTAGTTTAGGTTTAATATTTATGTAGCTTGCTGCAGCGTGCCCCCCGGCGAGTTAATTGCCTTTCTGGTAAAAGCCGTTGTGAGCAACGATGAAAAGTAGCCCACTGCAAACACAGGTTACCTATAGCCCACCATCACTGCTACACGGAGGAATAGCGACTGTTGTTGAACCCTTAGAACGGGAACCTGGCGGAAATCATTGTGATTATATGGCTGCTTTGTTAAACATTTGTGCAATTAGCAACAGAAAGAAAGCCCTAACGCAGTAAAAATAATGCAGCTTTGGCAGCTGAAACAGTTGTGAAGGACTGGCGTCTGTATGGACACTTATATCCAGACCCCCCCCCCCCCCCCAACCCTCTGCATTTTCCATCTAAATTCCTGTGATTAAAAATGGCAAGTGGCACAGATACCCACAATGCTCTCTTTTTTATTTTTTGTCGCTTCAGTCTTTTGAGATGTGCATGCAAAGAAACAGGGCCAGGCCTCTGAGTCAGTGCTGAGGGTTGTGTGATGGGAGTATATTTGAACATGCCTGGTCTTACTGTTCGTGATTTGTTTATCTACTGCAAAAATTCATGCTGAAGGGAAACGCCAGCCCCAGTGATTCAGATACCTTTCTTTCTTTTTTCTTTGCTTTGCAACATCCCCATTATTCCCCAAATCTTTTGTGTTGACACCCTAAGCACAGTTTTCCTTTTCAAGACGAGGCACCAACAACAAAAAAGAAGCACTGAATTGATCACAGTGATCGCCTTGCAGTCTCGTTAGACTTCGACGGTTGTTCTGTCTTGTTTATTCAGACGTTTACACTGTTTATTCCCACAACAGTGGATCGTTAGCATTTACTTTTTATTGCTTTGTTCCTGCATCACAAAGTGTGAGTGTTTGTCCAGAGTAAGAGTGTGTCGATCAGAGGGACTCGGCCCTTCCCTGGGCCCCGGGCCCTGGGCCCCTCCAGGGGTACAAATGGAGCTTGTTCTTGCCTAGCCATGCTTTTTTGCTAATGCTTAACCCTTTTGGCCTCATTATCCTAATTGCGGTCCCCGCTGGAAAAACAACAGATGCTTTTGTACAACTGTGGGGATTTCAGAACGTGACCAAGAGGTTTTTTTTTTGGAGGCAACAGAGTGCATATTTGTTTCAAGGTTGATTTATGACTCATTGTTGCCCCCCCCCCCCACTCCACCCAATCCCCTCCCCCCACCATTACAGATTGCAGCAGAGGGCAGGGGCACCCCACCATGCAGACCAGGCTTCTCTGAAGATGTATACAAGGTTGTGGTGCCAGATATCGCGGAGGAAGGACATCCCCTTTTCAACGGTGAGTGGTGAAATATTCCGAGTGCTGGATGCTTGTTATGTCTGTGTTTGCTTGTGTGTGTGTGTGTGTGTGTGTGTGTGTGTGTGTGTGTGTGCGCGTGCATGCTGCCATGTGTTACATTTCTGGGAGGATCAGAACAAGCCTGACATATTTAAACAATTAGCTTCGGTGTAGCCGTGTTGTACTGCAAGTGGTGTAGTTTGCCTTGTAAACCAGCTCCAATGTGGTTCAACTTAACTATGTCGCTCCTGTCAGTTTTGCTTACATGCTGTTTTTTTTTTTTCTCATTCTTTTTAGCTGACTCAAACATATGCTCGTTGTTACCTCATGGCTAGCTTATACATTGTGGCTGAACAGTTTGTGTTTTGCAGGAAAATATTAACTATTGTCATTAAAAGTAGGGAAACTGTGTTGATTGCACTGGGGATCTGGTTACTAAAAAGTCGATTCCACACAGATTTGAGTACTTGCACAACTTTGATCAAGCGAGTAACCTAGCTGTGAAACATCGCATTCCTTGTGCTGGTGCATTTCATTATTTTCTATAACCATATGCCATTATTCTGCATTAGTCCTGTTCTAACTCACCATCACTTCAGTACAGATTCAAACCATATGTGGGGCGTATTTCCATCTGATTATTTTAAACGTGTTTATGCCTAAAGGTTCCCAGCTCGAATCGCATGGTGATGTATCCATTCACAGTGTTACACTGCTAAGCCCACTCCATGGCAGTAATAACAGCAATTTAATTCTCTTTCAAAATGTTGGTTACAGCAGTCGTCTTTCTGTGCGAAACCCAGATGTAGCAGCTTTATAAAATGTATAACCTGGTGCAAAGAAGAAAGTGAAAAATAATGATTTTTTTATTTTTGTGCAGTAGCCCCATTACACTGCAGCAAGCATGACCAATACTGCCTCTTTGGAATTTAATATTGGCAAAATGAGGATGCAGCAACCATGAAAGAGTACACAGGCCTACAGACGGCAATAAAAACGGGAATATATCACCAGCGTGCTATTAGAGAGGTTAGAGCCGTGAGGTCATTTGGACCAGGAGGCATTCTCACTTGTGTTGGATTTCACAGTGTGTGCCTAAAACTTGCACGCTGTCGTTGGTGTGAGTCAGATAGGTGGTGGTGGGGGGGGGGGGGGGGGGGGCGGGGGGTGGGGGGGCAGGCAATGATGAGAGAAGAAAGAGAAGCGGCAAGAGAGTGATTGCTATGGGTGGGTACGGCCTTTCACTGGGCTCTACCTTGTGCACAAGTTTTTCCGTTTGATCCCGCAGGTGATGGATTTCCCTCTGTTGGCTTGTGGATGAGCCGTGACCTGGGGTAATCAGGTTCCCTTTTGTTTGCCCCCCCCTTCTCCTTTTTCTACTACCCCCCCCCCCCCCCCCAGAGAGCTGTTGCTCTGTGGAGACCTCCTTGACAGAGAGGGGCACTCCTGTGTCATTGTCATGCAGTGTGGGATGCTGTTATTGAAACTGCATTCTCTAATGAAAAGCTCCTGTGGCATGTTTTGAAAGACAAAGCCCCCACAGTGGGGGGGGGGGGGAAGCATGCCCAAAGTTTTTCAACCTTGCTTCCACCATGCTGGCGGGAGATATTTTTTTTACCCGGGGCTGAGTTTTTTTTTTTTTTTTTATTCACATTGATGCTTCTGTAGCCGCATGTAGCCTGCTTTAGCTTTAGGTGTCCTTGCATTTCATTAACGTTGTTAATGGTGGCCTGAAAGGTCTTAGATAAAGAATAGAGAAGCATTAAGAGAATGTTATTGGGCTCGTTTTTAAGCTTTGTCATGTTGGAGATAACCCAGTCGGCTACTTCTGGTACGCTGAAAAGTCTCCATGTGTTGTTGGTTGGTAGTTTAACTCCGTTGAAGTGGGACTTTCTTGCATATCTGTGTAATACTATCTGTACGTCGTGTAAGGTGTCCATTGCTTGTATTGTGTTGCTTTTGATGCATGAGATGCAGCAGGCGGGGAGCTGTTAGCTATCTTTGTCCCATCTAATTGCAGCCTCTCCTTTGTTACTGATAGAGAATACACATCACGCAGTTTGTAAAACCTGGAAATGGGCCGTTTGCATGTAAACAGCTGACATTTTATGTTCTAAACTGAAAGGCGTCCTGTGGATTTTGACGCCAATTGTGGCCAAGCAGTTACCACAGCTATTTGATTGTAAGATTTAATCACACTCCCGGGGGGGCATAGACTGGACTTTAACTGTTAGTTGGCCAAGTGATGCTCCATTGATTTTCAATAGATTTGTTAAAATGCATTTCTTAAAAGTCACTCGGCAGAGCAGCGATGGAGAAAAGCCAGGAAAGGACAATTATTCCTGTTATGAGAACTCCTCTCCGGTGATCCATTAAAGGGAGGTTACGCTCATTGTTTGCAGATGCAGGACCTTCATCAGGATTAGGGGGTTACCCACTGTCCACCCCTCCGGGGCCCACATGACCTTGCTTTTAATCTTTGAAATATTTGCTCTGGCCTGATACTGAGCGGAGGGGGAAGCGGCCGAACACGGTTAATCATTATCAGGCCATCATGCAGATGAAAGCAGTCTTTAAACATTTGTGCGGCGTTTCCTCTTATCTTGTTTAGTCGCTTGATAAAGTCACTTGTTTTATTAAATTGCATTTAATTTCAGGTAGGCTGCGGGTGGTTTGCCTCTGGGTGTCTAATGGAATTCTGGTGGCTTTGGAGAGTTGACACACACATTATTATTTTTTTTACCAGATGAGGCCTTTAAAGTGGGGTTGCAAAGTGAGTCAGTCGGCGCATTATTCAGCTGAGGTTTCCCTAAAAAGTGGGTTAATGAAAAGCCCAAAAGCCTAATTGGGCTTAATAAACTCTTATGGTGCTGCTCTGCATTTCCCCCCCCCCACCCACCACCATGTATTCTGCTTTCATGTATCTTACCTCCACCCCACAGCCCTGTTTCTTTGCTGCTTTTTCCTGACAATTATGGGAGCACTGGTGATAAAAAAGAGATGTATGGTTGTTGTCTGCTTTAGCTCTGGTTCAAGTGCTTTTAATGTGAGCATGTCAAGACGGGGGGGGCGCTCCACAGATGAGCCGAGGGGGGAGGGGGGAATTACAGTTGACCAGTTTAATAACGTGATTGTAACAATTAGTGTCAACGTCAGCGGCGAGAACATGAACTCCAACTCTTGGGATATATATATATATGTATATGTATATGTATATATATATGTATGTATATATATATATATCTATATCTCTCGCTCTCGCTCTCTCTCTCTCTTATAATTTTCAGTTAATCTATCATTATGTGTAATTACCTCTCTTTGCCGAGTTTGTTTAAGGCAACCCTTTTAAACAAACCAAATTTCACCCTCTTGACAAGAACAACACAGCGTTCGTGAAGTCCGGACTTGTGCGTCGACTGAAACCATTTCTGGTGTTGTTCTGGTTGTCTGCGCCCTGTTTAGGATTCCGACGGCCCCTGGGTACAGCTGGGGCCACTCAGATGTATTTAAGGGGCCCCAGTGTTTGGCGATACGTGACCCTGCTCGACCCTCTCCTGTAAACTGGGCCGAGTGCTCAGCAACATACTCAGCCCCTTTTCCTGCTCTCTAGATTCGGGATGAGGCTGGTGTGGGGGGGTGGGGGGGGTTCCTGGTGAGGTATAGATGAATGAAAGACCAGCCAAAGAGGTCCTGACCCGTCACCGGGGGGGGGAGGCACCACCACCTCATGTTGTTCTGACCTACGCACTCGATCGCTCATCGCTTGAACAAACAGACAAAGGCAAATTTAAAAAGCCCAAGCTTTCTAGCACAACAAGTTTGAGTGTTTTCGTGGGCATTACATCACTGTTATGGCCCTTGTAACATGGACCAAAGACTATAATGGACTGCCTCTGAAACATTGCAGAGTTTCCATGTCATGCAGCTCTGTTGTCTATTGAAATATTCAGCGTGGGTTGATAACTTTGAGGAATCGCCCTGAAGAGCCGCTGTAGTCTGGTGTCATAAAAAGAGTGGCTGCCGTTGGGATCTTTGTGTTTGAGATGTATGAGGTCTTCATCGCTGTCTGTGCTGACGCTGAATAATTCAACAGTCAAACATGACTTTCTTAATATTCAAATCCCCGTTCACAATGAGATCCATGAAGCAAGATGAAGAGCAACATGAGGACCCCCCCTCCCACACACACACACACACTCCCTTTTCTTTTTTTTCTGGAAGTGGATCAATGAATCCAGGGTCTTCGTTTGCAGCGATCGATATATTGTAATGTAGGCAGCGCTCTAATTCCCAGCTGAAGCATCGCTGCCTGGTTGGAGTTGAATTTGTTTTATTCCTTATTGTTATCAGCCTGCAAACATTTATTTTTATTTCGTCACTGTGTCTTTTTTTTTTTTAAATCTTTTTCTTGGGAGCACCATGGCCTAGATAACCGCCACATATTGTGACAGCAGATTGAATCTTGGCAGTGCATGCTTTTGGGAAGTAACCTTTGATGCAGTTTGCCTCCAGTGTAACGGTGGAGGAGAGTCGCTCGAGTGCTGGTGTTAGGGACACCGTGGCCAATTGTCAGGATCGCCGCCTCCGCCGCAGTCCTAAGGCCATATTATGAAAATGAAAGAGTAATGTTAGCGCATTAAAGCCATCTGTGGCTTATTTGTGGGTGTGTTTTCTGAGCCTTGCTGGCTGGCATGACGGAATGAGACATAGTTTATGCATGTCTGAGCTTTTTTTAGACTCTTTTAAGTTCCTGAATAACGGTCGTCTGATGATAATGCCTCCACATTTGGAGGCAGGCAGGTACTTGAGCAACGGCTAAATGTAGATAAAGCAGGGCCGACACTAACCTGATGGCTTCTCATCACCTCTGTTCGTATCGCTCTTATCAGCTACGGGCCCTGCCCTCTGCCACTGGCACCTCAGTGTGCGGCTCTGACATTGGGCTCTAGTGTAGGTGTCCCTCTCTCATGCCTGCGTGAATGTGTGGGGGGTTGTCCTTG